GGGAGGAGAGAGGGAGGGAGAAAGAGAGAGAGAGATAGGGAGGGAGAAAGAGAGGGGGGAGGGAGGTAGAGAGGGGAGAGGAGAAAGGGAGAGAGAGAGGAAGAGGGAAGAAGAAAGGGAGAGGAAGAGAGAGAGGGAGGGAGAAAGGGAGAGAGAGAGAGGGGGAGGGAGGGAGGGAGATACAGAGGAGAGAGATAGAGGGAGGGAGGGAGATACAGAGGAGAGAGATAGAGGGAGGGAGAGAGAGAGAGGGAAGGAGAATGGGAGAGAGAGAGAGGGAGGGAGGGAGATAGAGAGGAGGGAGAAAGAGAGAGAGAGGAGAAAGGGAGAGACAGAGGAAGAGGGAGGAAGAAAGGAAGAGAGAGAGGGAGGGAGTTTTATAAACAAATAGCTTTTTGAAGGCATTTCTTTCATCATTTACTGATGTGAGAGAGAGAAAGAGAGAGAGAGAGAGAGATGCACACAGACACAGAGAGAAACAGAAAGAGAGAGTCAGAGATTGGTGATTGGTGACATGCGGTGATTTTTATTAGTGATGTGAGGTGATATTTAGTGATATGCGGTGACATGCAGTGATATTTAGTGACATGTAGTGATATGCGGTGATATTTAGCGACATGTAGTTATATTCAGTGATATGCGGTATTTATACCTTTCCCTAAAAAATGACCATTATTGTGTCAATGTCCGTTTATTTTTTAATCAAACAAACAAACATTAACACGGACAGACGACCAACATTTTTTGGTGACCGCTGTTGTCAGCTGGCTGTGGACACTTCTGGTATGAACACCCTGTTAGGATGGCAATTTATTGTGCCTCAAAATGCAGCATGATATAATTGGAGACAAAATTCTTATCTGTGACGTCTATAAAAATCTCTATGGTGCAAGTTCATGGCTGTGACGTTATTCCAATACCCGGTTCACTTCCTTGTCATACAAAAAAAGTCGAAGGAAGGACAGAATCCCACTGCTCATTTAAGTTTTAACCCATAAATTCAAATACAGTGAAGGCCGTATAAACCGAAATCAGAGGGACACCTGGACTTTCTTCAGTTTAGTCTTTATTTTTTTTGTTCAAATTGGTTGCTGAACTCAAATAGAAGAAAAAAAATCGAGGATTTAAATTTTTTTTTTTTATCTATTGAACTGTATTTGGTTTAAGTTTAACTCTTAACAGTTCTTTCCTTTAATAATCGAACAAAAATGTTTGAAGGTTTTGAAAGGCTATAAACCTCATATTTTTGTCTAATTTATCCATTTTGGTGCTCCTACATAGAGTGTAGCCTTGATTGTGGTGAATTACCCCCAAAAATACGGGGAAAAAATGATATTTTTCGTACTTAAATGAAATGGATGTTGCATTTTACCTACATCATTTCTCATCTGTCCGCCATCTTGAATTACTTTCTTTTATACAAAGATCAAAGCAAGAACAACAAAATTCCCCTATATAAGCTATTTATGGACCCAGAGGACAGATAAATGTATGCAGCTCAAATTGCGATGTTTGAGAGCCAAAGGGATGCTCCTCTATAGCAATATTAGTGAAATTAGGACATGAAGATTACATGGGTACAAGCATTATGACCCATTTAATAAACATACAGTAAAAATTCACATCACTCAGGACTTGACTGTAGCTGTTTTAAAAAAAAAAGATTTTATTTCACATTTTTACAGAGCAGTAACTGTACATTCCTTTGAAGACAGAGTAGAATACTTGGTATATGTCACTTGTTTAAGAAGAAATATTGAAAGATGTAACATGGCTTTTTCTTTCAATTTAAAGAATTTAGGGTCTCTCACCAGCATAGCAGCCTTATGCCATTTCAAAGAATAAGAAAATGTTTTAAAAAACTTCCCAACCAGTCTAAATCGGTGTACATCTTTTATCACCTCTTTCTCTCTTCAAAGTCTCTTAGTGAAATAATTTGGAAAGATTTTTTGAACTGACTTCATTAGAATACTCGTTTGAAGCTGAAGTTATGAATTGCGATAAAAAAATGCATCATGCCTCAATGGTCGCCACTTTACAATTCTGCAAACATCATCCATAAATAATATGAACATGTGTAAAAACATTCATCATCACTGGAACATCTATACAATTTGTTTTGAACTTAGAACAAATTCATTTACTTTTGCTCTCAACAATGCATCACAAAATCAAGCAGAAAGACGATTTACAGAAACCTTCATAATCATTTGCTGGTGAACATTCATAAGTCATAGTTTACAGTCAGCAAACATAAAATGGTAGTAAAAAAGCTGTAGAGCCTTTAATGATTTTATTTAAAAAACAATACAAACTTAAAATGCCTCAAGAGACGGACTTTCTACATTGAATAACAGCCCCTTGAATGTGCCGTTTAATGTAATAAAACAATTGTTAAAATCAAGTAGTTTGACAATAATAAAGCTCATAGATTCTTCTCCGCCTTTTGGCTAAGATCAAAGTGTAGTATCTGTTCCCGACTTTTCGGCTTTGTGCCGAGTTTAATCTAAGGGGGACGGATGCTAAACGAAGCTGATGAGACTTCGTCCTCAATTATATCTAGTGGATGGCAAAGTCCTCTTAGAAGAAAAAAACAACTCATAGATTCTCAGATAAAAAAAATGGCATCAATTTTTGTCAGCTCACACACATAAGTCACTCATGGGTCAACCTAAGCACAGAAAGTGTTTGGAATTTCTGGTGCTATGGCTGATGAAAAAGCATTACAACAAGTCCTCATGAATCACAGTAGTTTTGTACAAGAATTCATGGACTAATCAACTTCATGATAAATGCCCTGAAGTCTCCTCAGTACAGTTATCAGAAAGATCTGGGGTACTATTCTTGTCCAATGTGCGGTCATAGAACTTCCATCTCTGTTTGGTCCTTGTGATTTCTAAGTCAAGGACATCAATATTCCAGCTGTATAGAGAGAAAAAAAGGGAGAACAGACAATTGAAGCAATTTCAGCGCCTAATAAATCAGAACAATTTAATTAATTCCCATATATTTGAATTGGAAGTCATTAATTCGATAATGAAATCAACATACTTTCGTAGATTGAAATGCTTGGTACCCCAAATCAGGAAAACTCTAAATTTAAAATAAATATAAATAAATAAATTGCATTTATATAGTGCATTTCCACAAAGAAGTGCTCAATGCTCTGTACAATAATACAAAGAACGTATGCAGCGCACAGCTCCAATGGTAATCCTCTTTCTCTCTCTGTCTCTCTTCCTTACTCTCTCTCTCTCTCTCTCTCTCCAGTGCATTGGGAATGTTGGAAATAACAGATTTAAATTGGACTGAAACCAATCCGCTTTAAGTGCTGATTAGAATTTTTGTTAAAATGGTAAACTTTCGTAGATGAGTTGGCAAAGCGTTCCACAGGGAGGGGGCGTGGTGTGAAAAAGCTCTCCCTCCGAGTCTCTGACTTTTGCTTTGAACAGGTCTTAAAAGTCTATTCGTCGCCGATCTAAAAGGCCAAGATGGTATATATTTGACAACCATGTCACAAATTTATGATGTGGCAATGTCGTTGACGTACTTAAAACAAAGAACAATTATTTTGTACTGAATTCGTGCTTTCACCAGGAGCCAATATAGTTGAATTAGCATAGGTGTTACATGCTCTCTGCATACTCTTTGAGAGATTTCTTTAAAATTATGCGAGCAGCTTGGTTTTGGAGTCGCTGTAACTTATTTAACTTTTCAGTGGGAAGGTTTCCAAACAAAGAATTGCAGTAGTCTAGACGTGAAAGGACAAAAGAAGAGAAGAGGGTTTTGATGGAATCAACACTAAGATATGTTGACATTTGTCCTATTCTGCGTAGTTCTAAATAAATAACTTTACATAGATGGTTTATATGATGGTGCATAGATAGTTAGCAGTCAAAATAAACGCCTAGATTTTTCGCTCTATCTGTGAAAAAGAAGTTATCCTTCCCAATACATATATTTATGGCCAAAATTGCAAAGCAATGTCCCTGTTTTTGCATTGCAAAACAAAACTTCGGTCTTATCATCCTTCATTTTAAGTCTGTTTGATTTCACCCAGTTTGTTACCTCAACAATACATTTTTCCATGCTGGTAACTAGACAATTGAAATTTGTTGGTAAAACAGACTTGTACAGCTGCGTGTCGTCCGCGTACATGTGGTAGTGGTAGTTAACGTCGTGCTTCCTAATCATTGAACCAAAGGCTAAGGGCTTTGTTAATTATAGTGTGTAGTATAAGAGAAGCGGCAGGTTTTTGTCAGCCTTACAAGTTTGAAATTTTGTACTTTTTCCTTAATATTTCAGGGTGGAGAGGTGTCTGTGGAGTAGGGGTAAGATTCTTCACTCACCATTGCATGCCGAAAATATGAGTTTCTACCTGAGGAAGTTTGAAAAATTCTGTCTGCTGGAATGTGTGTCCCACTGTGTCCTTTTATTTTCTTGGAGAGAGCCTTTTGAGCATCTTTTTCCTTGTTTTCAATTGAGGCAACTGCACATTTAACAGGTTTTTTTTCAACTTCCTCATCCATGGTCTTGATCCAAAAAGAATATATAGATAATTCCTGTACTCTTTGGTGCTCTCTAGATTTCTATTTCTTTAATCGAGGACATCTGAAACTCTTTATTTCAAAAGGTTTTGTCAGTGATAATATTTTGTTGTTGTGTGAACAAAAGTATAATAGGTACAGTCAATCCTCGTTGTATGGCACCCCCCCCTCCCCCCATTATACCACCAGCCCCGCTTACCGCCAGGTTTTGCCAATGTATGAAAAGGAACACCTATAAACATAGTATCTAATCCTTCACACCGCCATCTGCCAACTGTCTGAGTTGTATGGTCCTTATTTAACTAATGTAAATTTGCCCGCCATACCGCCAGCAAACTGACCACCAGAGGTACACACTGCACACGGCGCACAACACCCACTGGTAGGCTACTTGATAATCTTTCTCCCACAAGAAAGACACAGCGACAGAGTCAGAGAAAACGCTAGGCTCTGAATACATGTGCATGTACATAAATCACAAACAAAAAGACACTTTTCAAACACAGATTGCATAGCCGAATTATGGTCCTTGACGTTTGACAGTCGGGGCTATATATTAACAGAAGAACCCTGTTGAACTGCCAGCCCCACTATTCTGCCAATATATAATATATTCCCTTATTTGTTATGATTTTGTAAAAAGACCTTTCAATTATCAATGATATAAAATTAAAGCATTGATTTAATTAAATGTATTTGAAATAATTCAATTAGTTTAGTTTGAACTGGTGTGACCAGTGAGAATATATATATATATGTAGTCATTCGAAAGCGTCCACTTTATTTTGGGACATACTGTAAGTACAGTACTATGAGTATGTAGTGTGTAAACTGGGTTATGATATTAGTGCAGTATTAGTTTATTTTCAGTGCAAATTTAACTACTGTACCACACAATTCTAAGACAACAATATGAAAATACGATTGAAAGACTATTTTTCTTTTAAACAATTATCTGAATAAAGATCTTACTCTTTTTCTCGACTCTCTCTGCTAGCAGCGACATACAAGACTCCTTTATCTTTTGGTCCCACCACTGGAATGGACAGCTGGTGACAAAATAAAATGTGTAAGCACAGCACTTCAAGAGCTACAGTGCAGCATCTCTATAACGACGACATCGTCGTGACCAGAAAAAAATATGTCCTTATAGCAGTTATAGTGAGGCAACCAAAAATGGCCGGGTAGGGGGAGGTGGTAAAGTACACCAAGAATGCAACGGTATGACGTGTGGACCAGGTAATTTGATTAGTTACCTTATTCACAAAGAGTTTTTCAAGCTACTCCAAGGTTGCCCATGCTTTCTCTCCTTTCTTTTTGAAGTTTGTTCATAAACTGAGGCATCGTGAGGACTTTTTTGTGATTAATGATCACAGATACTGATAGTGGGTCGATAGCACTGTCTCTTATACCCGACAACTGGCCTGAAGGAAAGTCAATATCATTGGTCGGCTAGTCACGCATTTTCACAGGTCGGAAAGCAAGTGTTTTTATTGGCTTAGACTACTTAGAGTGTTAGAGTATGGGATTTCACTGGTTGGAAAGTAAGTTTTCATTCATGGACCAGAAATTCCGTCTTCACTGTCAATTTCAAGTTGCCGATTACCACCCTATCGATGTCGCTATACATGGTTCTAGCTAAAATGGTGTCTTTATAGCGAGTTTTTAAAAATACTAATGATATGGTATAAGGAAAAAATCTGGACCTGGACACCATGTCGCTATACAGAGGATGTTGTTATATCGAAGGTCGTCATAGAGAGGCAGCACTGTATTTGAAATTACCATGAGTCATAAGCATTTTTTTTACAATAAAACATGAAAGTAGTGGAAAAGGGCATGGTGAGGAACCACTGCTCAGAGAGTGATATTTTTAAACGATAATAAAATAAAAACTTAGCCATCAATAACTGGTGTACTGTCGATTAAGAATTCAAAACGATTTATGTTCAACATTCCAGCCAGGGAGTTTTTCTGTTCTTTTCTAGAGTTTCTTATCTCAGCCCATTTCCCTCAAAACCTCTTCCTTCCTCCCTCATGTCAGTCACTATGATTTTTAAGGTTTCTGATTGGTCAAGACCTGCTTGAAAAAGAATAGTCAAACCTAAATTACTTGAGCTGGCCCAATAAAAGAAATAAAAAACGCTGGAGTTTCATCGGCAAAGTTTCATTCAATAAAAAAAAAAAGCACAGTAACATTTTTAATGCTGAAAAAAATACAATCACTTTACATTTTTTTGAAAGCAATAGATAGTCAAGCATAGATATTTTGAACAAGAAGAAAAATCAACGGAAGTAATTGTGACGGTATAATAGTTGGAAAACAAATCACTGTTATCATGAAAAGTAAACAGTATCGATAGAAAAATGTTTAGTGCATGCGCCTTGTTCAGTGTTGAAGCAAGAGAAAGGAAGAGAAATGCAGATGACCCTTACGACTAATGAAATTACTCTTGTCAGATCATGATTATGATGGTTAGATGATATTTACAAACACTGGTCAAAGCATGCCAACCACCCTTTTCGTTGTATCACTTCCTGATTCATTCCTTCAAGTTCAACAACCATACACACACGTACACACAAACACAATTCACACACCACACCACCCAATGTAGCTCAACATTGTCTTTGATCATATCAATCATAGTATCCCACCACCCTACACCCACTCTCACATGACTAGATTCAATGAAGTTTTAGTTCTAGTGCCTTACACACCTACACATTACACACACTGCAGGTGTAATGATGTGTTTGAACACCAGCAATGTGCTGTGGTGAGGGGGACCTAGTGGAGTTTATTTAACCTAAAACTCTTGATCATGATGGGTGTTTGCTTTTCATCATGCCTCCAGGTTTTTTAAATTTGAGACTACTGTGAGGAATAATTTGATCAGACTTTTTTTAGAAGAGGTGATCAACACACCCATGCTGGTGTTCGAGAATACTGTGCTGCCAATACAGTGGAACTCGGATTCGCCGAGAACTTGCATTCAACGAGAGGAGATGGATTCTAGAGTTAGGTCAGGCTCGCTAAATCAGCGTCCGCGAGTAACAAACTACTCACTGGCACTACCCGCAAACGAGCGGATGGGTAACGAGCCGTCTGCTTGGGAAGAGTAGTACCCTACTCGCTACACATTGGACAGAGACAACAGCATGTTTTGCGAGAGAGCGGAGAGACTCAATGCATTTGAGCGAGCGGACGGACGGATGAACGTGGAGCGAGTTCTTCCATTGCATACTACTTACACCCTCCCCCCTGAAAAAAAACAACCTTCTGCCCCACATTGTAGCTAGGCGTTAATGGCAGAAATATCTTCCCCCCCCCCCCCAAAGGCCTTTGGGAATTCTTTAAGCTTCGCCTTCCCGATAATTGGAACATTCACAGTGTGCCCTCACACGTGTTGAAAGGTTACACACATAGTACTACGTCACCAGCCTCTCTCACTCCCTGTGGCACCGCTTGTGGCTTGAAACATTAGGCCTAATTAACAAACAATAGACGACGGGCCTAACTTCGTGTCGAGTATCTCGTCTGCTAGAGTTCGTCCGTTTGCCCGCCCGCTCAGTGAATAAAACTAGATCCAGTCGATTGCATGCGACCAATCAGCGGCCTTCTTTCATACCGACACATTGCATTGTTGGCACGCGTGAGTCGGATTCAGATGGGCGGCCGGCACACGTGTGACTGTTTGTGCATGTCACGGGGCACCAGCGGTCCGGGGATGGAACGTCGCAGATACAAATGAGTCACAGTCTTAGTCTTTTTTCCCCCGACAACTGATCATTATTACAATGATATTCTAGTCTTGATGTAGATCTACATAATGAATTGTGCGCTGGTCTATGGAATCTAAAGTTGCCGTATGCTAGGCTAGGCTTTACACAGCAACACAACTTTTTTGCAAACATCGAGATGACACAGGCGTGCATTTGAATGGATCTGTTTTGTTTTTTTTGCACAGCTCATAATATGCAGGCATTTCAGGCACCACTAGTTACTTCTCTTTATTCATTACTTGCTCAGTGCCTGTAATTGTCTACACAAAAACCTCATGTTTGCTATTATAACAAACATTCAGATTCAACGAAATTTTAGGTCAGGTCAGGCGCAGCGACCTCGTTGAATCCGAGTTCCACTGTACAAAGAAAACACAGTGGTTCAATCAGGAAATGGTAAGGGTTGGGTTGATATAAATCAGTTGATTTTTTAAATTTAAATCAACTTGATTTTTAAAATAAAAATCAGTGATTTAAATCACTTTTTAAAAAAATTATTTTTATTCAGTTTATACATGTTTCAACATTCAGAATTCCTTCCCTTGGTTTCATAAAACAGATATAAGGTTTAGTAGACTAATATAACCATGCTTAAAAGTCTGCTTTCCCCCCTTTCACTGTAAAATAATACAGTATTCAATTTACTTTTTTTTTTCCATAATCGAAATCAGAGCTGGGTTGATTTAAATCAGTCGATAAAATTTTTTTAAAAATCAACTTGATTTTAAAAATAAAAATCAGTGATTTAAATCACTTTTTAAAAAATGTATTCAGTTTTTACATATATTTAAACATTCAGAATTCCTTTCCTTGGTTTTATTAAACAGATATAAGGTTTAGTAGACTAATATAATCATGCTTAAAAGTCTGCTTTCACCCTGTCACTGTAAAATAATACAGCATTCAATTTACTTTTTTTTCATAATTGAAATCAGGGTTGGGTTGATTTAAATCAGGTCGATTTAAATGAGTTGATTAAAATTTTTTAAAAATCAACTTGATTTTAAAAATAAAACTCAGTGATTAAACCACTTTAAAAAAAAAAAGTATTCTGTTTTTACATCTTTAAACATTCAGAAATCCTTTCCTTGGTTTTATAAAACAGATATAAGGTTTAGTAGACTAATATAATCATGCTTAAAAGTCTGCTTTCCCCCCTGTCACTGTAAAATAATACAGTCAATATTTACAGTGGAAACCATATATAACAGGCCCGGTAATAACAGGGATCCGGTAATAACAGGGATTTTTTAAATCCCCGTTTTTTCCTACTCATTGTCTCTATTAAAAGTTATCGGCAATAACAGGGCCTCATCGGAGCCCAACCGGTTATAGCAGGGACAAAGGCTCGTTATCAATGTGTAAAAAGTAAGAGAGTGAGTGAGAGAGAGAGAGAGAGAGAGAGAGAGAGAGAGAGAGAGAGAGAGAGAGAGAGAGAGAGTAACGTGGTGATGGAGCAAGCCCACGCAAGCCATGCCACTGCGAGCACACGCAGCGTGAAGCGAGAGACCGCTGCGGTGTGCTGCAGACCTCGATCTAGCCAGAAACCTAGCAACACGCACGTGTAATGTGTCACCAATGATGTTAAGCGCAAGAGAAAATGCCTTTCAATTGACAAAAAATACGAAATAATCCAGGCTGTTGACAAAAAGCAAGCTCCACCCGGCAGAGATTTGTCGTCAGTTCGACATTCCACAAGGGTCGATTCACACCATTATCAAGGATAGAGAGAAGATAGTGGCAGCATACTCCAATGGAAAGTTTGCTCAGGATCGAAAGAAGATGAGACTATCCGATGCAGAATCTCTGGACCAAGCTCTTCTGATATGGTTTAAGGAGGCAAGGAGAAAGTTGGTGCCAAAACCCCTGTTCGTGGATACTAGTGGCAAGGGCAACTACCAATGAATAAGTACAGCTGAATTAGTCCACAAATGCTTACTTTCCTTGCATTTCTGATTTAACAGGGATCGGATATAACAGGACATTTTGTCTACTCCCACCATCCCTGTTATATCAGGTTTCCACTGTACTTTTTTTTCCTAATTGAAATTAGCATTTTCTTTTTCTTTTTCTTTTTAGACAAACACAAGCGCACGTGCGCGCGCGCGCGCGCACACACACACACACACACATTGTAATAAAATGCAAGTTTATCTATGCATAATTAACCCCCAACCCCCCCCCTTCCTTTTAGACTGACATTTTCTCAATTTTTTGTCTGTAGCCATAATTCACTGATATAGCAGATTAAGGCTTTCTTTAGCAGTTGCTTAAATTAATCATTAGTTAAAATAAAGACAATGCATTTTGCACTAAAAGAACATACTTTTAGCCACCGAAAATCCCAACCTGTGTCGACATAAACATTTTTTTTTTTTTTAATATAAAAAATCTGATTTAAATTTTTTAAAATCTGATTTAAATTTTAAAAATCGATTTTTTAAATTTTTATTTAAAAGAAAAAAAATCACCAACCCTGGAAATGGTATACTGTTCGGGCTATCCGTGAATTCTAGTTTAGCGTGTTCAAGTTAGCTGAGTTTGACTGTGTATATAATCTATTGTCAGTACCTTGGCTGTGAACTCATCAACTTTCAATTTGCTTTCATCCCCCAGGCTGAGGCGACCACCATAGATAGGGCGGCCAAAGAACTGCTCTGCAGGTTTGTATTTGTGCAGCATGAGCAGAGGTTTCTGGTAGAAGTCTTGCTGTCGAAATTGACCTGGTGGTAAAGGGAGAAAAAAAGATCAAATTGAACCAAAAGCCATTATAAACTATACGGAATGTGCATGTACATAACCCTGACAAAAGGGAGAAAGGGGGTCATTTTTAATTCAACTTAAACCACAAAGCTGTCAGCTTACCGAGGCGTACTTTTCAATAATGTGTACAATGTTGATGATCAAAGTTTACTTTTTAAAATAAAATAAAGGAACCCCTCAATCGCTTATACTTCTACAAAAGCTTTGAACTATGTGGCGGGGGGGGGGGGGGGTGGGGGGGGTGGAGAAAGCAGAAAGACCAACTCGCTGTACTGATCTGCAAGCTAACATGTTGGAAACAGGTAAGTGCAAGAGGAAACAGTTGGTGATTTAAGGAAGAGTGCTCAGCTATACAGATTTCCAAGCGACTATTCCCAACCACAAGAAATGTTTGGATGACATCACACATTCTGAGAGACTTTTCTCTGAAGATTTAATGCACAAGTATGTTAAATGTTCTGTGAGCACATCAGATGACCACTTGACAAATGATTAATCCTCCTCTGCTTATTTGGTGTTCTACAGAATTCACATGCGTTTCACATTACAGGCCTAAACATTACTCTTACAATCAGTGACCAATTAAAAACCTTCCTTCAAAGACGTATTCAGTCCCTTGCATCCTTCACCAAAGCAAATCCTATGGACAGTACAGTGTGAAAGTGCTGTCCACCATTTTCATTGTGCTGTGCGAGGAGCAGTTTTGTGAAATATTATTTTGTCTAGTCATGTCTTTTTATAATAAGCCGTCTAGGTTGCTGCAAAAATTTCCATTTATCAAGCTTTAGATCTACCTGTCTGTGTGTGTGTTTCACATTCGAAGCCGTACTTAATGACGGCTAGACTGCCAGGCAAGCTGTACATAATAAGGATGGCTAGAAGACTGACAAACAGCAAAAAATAGGCCTACTGAATAGTACATACATTTTTTGTTTGCAATACCTAAAGTATTTGTATTTGAGACGGCACCAAAAGGTGCCTAACTGACAGTACATGTATTTTAAACCTGAAAAATGTCTAATGAGACCTGTGTACTCAACAGGTGTCAGTCAATAGGAGGGCCTAACCCAAGTACAGCTAGACTGGCTGGCTAGCCGTACTTAATAATGACAGCTGAATTGTAAATTAAATTTTAGTTTTTGCAATAGGCCTACCCAAAGTATAAACTTTGTACAGTCCATGACGGCTTTAAGCACGGTCATCGGGAGAAAGCTTAAGCGTGCTTAAAGCCGAAGCGTGCTTAAGTGCGAAGTAGACATAATCCAGAGATTTTCATGTAGAAAATTCCTCGTGCTATTTCCCTTTGTTTGTAAGTAGGCCTATAGCGGTCCCGCAAAAGTGTGCACTGTTATTTAGACACCCACCATGGTACTTTTTGTTTGCTTGTTTGTTTTTGTTTTGTGGTCGAATGGGAAATGAAAACTTAATTTAGACGGCCAGTCACGATACAGCACACTAGGCCTACTGTAACACACTGCCTGTGCCTATCACTGCCCGCTGTGCCACTCATACCACCGCCTTCATCCCACCTCGCGCGTGATACACAATCAGGATTAATGGATAGCGAGGGTCAAACGTAAAATCTCAGCCAGCCTCCCTTTCTCGTCTCCCCGATTCTCTTTGTATTTTTTTTTTGGTCATGTGTAGCTTTGCCCTAGGCTTAGGCTAGATCCTATGTCCGCGCGCACGGCTGTGTGCATCTTTCTGCCTTCCTCTCCGCCCGTGTGAGTGTGTGTGTCCATCACTTGCGTTCTTTGTGTTTCTCTTGACACACTCCATTGCTGCGGTGTAAACTGTGTTCGAACTTCGATGGGTCATCATGAAAATATTGACTGTCTTGTAAACGAAGCGAGCTAGAAGCCGAAGTTACTGTGCTTATAGGCGTGTAATTTATATAGCAAAAATTCGGTAAGAGCCGTTTAGCGTGCTTGAGGCCGAAACATGCTTAAGGCCGGCACAGACTGTATTTCAGACGAAACCAAAAGGTGCCTTCATTTTCATGTTAGACTTTAAACCAGAATAATTAAGCTCTATTAGATCTAATGAGACCTGAGTACTAAACAATATTTCAGTCAGTAGGGCCTAACCTAAATACGGCTAGACTGGCAGACTGCTAGCCAAACTTTAAAAAAGTATGACTAGCCACTTCATATAGGATTTAGTTAGTCTCAAGAGGAAGGGCCGACTCATCTTTAGCTCACTTCAGACGGTTCACACAACAGTTGCGTGACCCCTGCCGCGACACTCGCGACGGTTCCCACAAGCTCTGCGTGAACAACTTTGGAATTTTTTTCCTGCTCTACAAATCACGCACGGATCGCGTGACCCGCCTCGTACCCTTGTTTGGCCAGGCCTGAGCTGCTTAGACTTCGTTTCGTATCTCTGGGGCTCGTAGTTTTTAAGTAATTGAAGGTGAAGGACCCTGACCCCAACTGGGGTGGAACTGACCGGAACTCGCGCTTTGTTTTTTTCTATACAGCAGATAGTAATCCGACAGTCGCGTCGTAGTAACGGTCGAAGAAGTCGCATGAACAAGAATCACATAATTTCGCCATTTTCGATACTTCTGTACGTTTTACTAGTTCTAGTGTCTCACAGGGTTGGGTTGATTTAAATCAGGTTGATAAAAATCAGTTGATTTTTTTTATTTAAATCAACTTGATTTTTTAAATAAAAATCAGTGATTTAAATCACTTTAAAATGTTTTTATTTTTATTCAGTTTTTACATATTTCAACATTCAGAATTCCTTTCCTAGGTTTCATAAAACAGATATAAGGTTTAGTACACTAATATAATCATGCATAAAAGTCTGCTTTTCCCCCTTTCACTGTAAAATAATACAGTATTCAATTTTCTTTCTTTTCATAATTGAAAACCAGGGTTGGGTTTATTTAAATCAGTTGATTAAAAAAATTTTTAATCAACTTGATTTTAAAAATAAACCTCAGTGATTTAAATCACTTTTAAAAAATGTATCGTTTTTACGTATTTAAACATTTAGAATTCCTTTCCTTGGTTTTATAAAACAGATATAAGGTTTAGTAGACTAATATAATCATGCTTAAAAGTCTGCTTTCCACCCTGTCACTGTAAGTAGTAAATTAATACAGTATTCAATTTACTTTTTTTTCAGAATTGAAATTAGCATTTTCTTTTTCTTTTTAGACAAACACAAGCGCGCACACACACACACGCACACTGTAATAAAATACAAGTTTATCTATGCATAATTACCCCCTCCCCCCCTTTCCTTTTAGACTGACATTTTCTTCATTTTTTGTCTGTAGCCATAATTCACTGATAATAGCAGATTAAGGCTTTCTTTTGCAGTTGCTTATATATTAATCATTAGTTAAAATAAAGACAATGCATTCTGCACTAAAAGAACATACTTTTAGCCACCAAAAATCCCAAACTGTGTCGACATTTAAAAAAAAAAAAAAAATCCGATTTAAATTGTAAAAATCTGATTTAAATTTTAAAAATCGATTTTTAAAATTTTTATTTAAAAAATCAAAAAAATCACCAACCCTGAGTGTCTCAGAATATGATGTGTCTGATAGTTGGGATCCAGGATATGTACCCGAACACGGCCCGAGTCGTAGTTTTAGGGCTAGATCTAGCACTAGTACTGGTGTTGTTGTTCGCGCAACGAAATTACAACGTCGTGCCGTACATATCTATCTCATGTAATTCAGTGTATGGGTCTGAATCAATACACAGACCAGCTTTTATATTTTCACCAAACACTCACACATGCATACAAATCAAACCAGAACACTTTGAACTTTTATTTTTGTTGTTGTTGTGAATTTCATTCTACCTGTCACGTCTCTGAAAATTTTAAGGAAAAAATCAAATTAATTCATGCCAATTTAAAAAAAATCATACAAATTAAAGTATTAGACTTAGACAACTTTAGTTTTTTTTGTATTAGATTAAACTTGAATGTAACTTTACTGTGTCAAAAAATAATTACAATAGGGTAATTTTGAGAGTTGTGGTGATTTATTAAAATGTACTCCCAAAAATCGCCAGTCTTCAACGCTTGTGACTGGTGACTGGTGAAAGGGCCCAGTAGTAAGTGAGTTAAGTCTGAATTCTCAATCTGAATTAGTTCTTCATAACTGAATAATCCTTAGGTTCTTTAAACCAATATTCCCACAAGAAAAAACATGCGAAGGGTGACAACAGACACAACAAGCTTAGGTTTTACTCTGCATCCTGCTCTCCATCCATGTCGTTGCTCCAATCACAGCCACTCCACCAAACATCGCAACTTTGAAAAGAGGCGATTTAAACAGCGCCATGATAGAGGCACATTTACTTTCTCACACTTAGCTAACTGAATCTCGATAATCTGTTGAATCTCTGGCTAGCTACTCAATCTCCACATGAGATAGGATCAGCTTCGTCTTTTGGCTTTTCTGGCTTCTAGATCTAGAATCTAGACTCTAGCTTCTCGACGAATTGGAATTGTCGAATGTCAAATTCCCACACGTTGTGCCGAGTCTTTTATTATATTGTAGTCCTAGCAGTCACTGTTTATTACTTGAATCGGGAGCAGTTGTATTCTAGGTTTTCGAAGTATATAATATATAAAATATTCAATTCTCTCTCTCTCTCTCTCTCTCTCTCTCTCTCTCTCTCTCTCTCTCTCTCTCTCTCTCTCTCTCTCTCTCTCTCTCTCTCTCTCTCCCTCTCCCCTTCCCTATCCCTTTCCCCCTCCCTCTCCCTTTCTCTCCCCCCCCCTCTTTCTCTGTCTGTCTGTATGTATGTCTGTCTTATTGTAAGTATAATATTGTAAGTAGTATTATATAAGTATATAGCGTATATATAGCGCAGCTCCAGAAATTAGAGTAATACTGGTTGCCCACCATTACCACCATATTTTGTTGCCATGCCACCATCACCACGTTGCCGCCATTATGATTGTTACAGCCACCAACTGAGCAGCAACAGTAAAGCAAACAACAGCTAGAAACACAAACAAACCCGCGAAAGGATACTAACTAAGCATACTTTACGCCCAGTTTCCTCTACATGTCATGTCAGCCATACAATTAGCCGACGACATGGATATAATAGATTTGTCCAAATGAACACCATTGTGTGTACAGGGCTACTCTAGATAATAGACTATTGTTATGGGCAGGGGTTGTTCTTGAACATATTACTTTAAAAAAACAACTGGGGTAGTCTAAGTATTTTAAGGCACTCGCAGCTGCATAAAAGAGGTCATACATATATTATGATGGCGCAGGACACTCCAATCATTTTCAGTAGGTATGAAATTTTGAATTTTCACCGGGTGGCGGCTGAAACCTTCTCTTGTCGATTTTGGACAACAATGGATCTTTAACGAGCGCCACTTGCAGACGGGACCTCTGAGATTTTTCGCCCTTATCTGAGAAAGTTAGGAGTAGATCTTACCTACCATAAGATCAGGGATGTGTTTGAAAGACAGCAATTAAGAAGGAGCCAAGGAGAAGCAGTAGAAAGGTTGTAGAAAGAGCCAGGAGACCAGAGAAGGGGGCAAAGAAGGTGAGTGGGTTAAGGCAGAAAGTGGATACGAAAGCACACGACAAACACTGTTAGAGCGCAGGAAAGGATGTGAAAGGAGAAGATTTTACTGAAGAAAATTTTCCGTCGGATCGCTATCAGGACCCGAACCCGGGACCCATTGAATGAGAGGTGAACACTGTAACCTCTAGGGTACGAGAGCCCCCTTACGTTGTTTAAAAAAAATAAAATAATAATGAGGAAACTGTACTCATCTAGACACAGAAATACGAAGTAGGCCAAAATGCTAACCAATGTTATTGCCATGCATTTAGGAGCAATTAAATAATTTAGCCTATATCTCAGTATGCCGATTTTATATCTCCTTTCTGGGATCGGCTAAAAGTTTTTCCTTTTCACTTTCACCAACGTTCCCTTCTTGACCTTCTCTTTCTTTTCATTATATTTATTATTTCTCTCCCCCCCCCCCCCCCCCTTTTTTTTTGTGTTATCCCTGTCAGGTCAGGAGAGGCGTAAGTCATAGTGGTGAGAAGTGAGAAGGAAAAGTAATTCTTATGAACCCTTTCTTTTCAAATAAATTTACTGCAACAGTGCTACTATCGGAAACTTTAAATTTCTGCTGCTGTCAACTCAAAACCGCGCCACTTGAGTTTTTGCATTCTTTTCCGTCTGGTAAATTATTTAACAATAGATGGTTCGACAACAATCGATACACCGATAACTCTGCATACATAGTTACGTTTTTGCTTATTCATTGGTTATTCCCCTTATTCCAGTCCATCTCGTTCTTTGGGTTACGCTGACCTTGCGATTCCGGCAAAATACAGGTCAAAAAGTTGTGTAACTCTTTCGGACGACACCATTTAAGAAAAAAATTATTGTTAACATTTGGAACCTTTTCGAAGAAAAGGTTTAGCAGACTGCAAATCCATTAGAGAGTTCAGTAGATTCCTGTTTGTTCAGGAAAAGGAATGTATACGTTTGTTTGTCGGATTTACAAGCGAACTAGATTTTGTGAGGCAGCGCGGAGGAAGACAAAACGAGTGCACCTTGTAACATGGCCTTGAACGACTTACACTGGCCTACACGGTGCGGTTTGGTATTTTTGTTCTAGGAATTTGCACCATGTGTGGATGGCAATAAAAATACGAATACCTTAGCGGGTCAACCTTTTTTTCTGTTTGTATTTCAGAACAAAACCTCTGTGCGTTTATTATACAAAGCAAAATTCAGAAAGAATCGGTCTGCATTAGGCTTCAAGAGGAACATCTTTTCCCTGACATTCCTTGTCATTCAGTATTATTCCTATAACGCGCAGTGTTCAACAAACGAAACGAAGAGAAGGCTGAAATCTTCACAACATTTCGACGTCAATCTGCGATGAAATCATTCTTTACATCGGCGTGTGCTTCTGACGTAACGACATGTAAGGACAACTCAGGTGGGTAGCGAGTTGTTGGCCTTGGTGAAATGGGATGAACTGTGTGGGGTCATATTGGGGACGAAGCTTTTTTTTGTTGTTGTATTGACTTGTCCCGAAACAAAACCAGAGTCAACATCAGAACCGAGGTTTTTCGTGTCGAGTCTGACATTAGGCCTAGATCTAGACAATCTAGACTAGTTCACGAGTTAACATTGCCAGCGCCTTTGGTTTTTCCCTTGTAATGCTGTCTACTTATTATTAAAAAAATCAATTTTTAGTGTAGGCCTAGATTCGAGATCTGATCTATTTACAAAAGATTCTCGGTACATTAGATTGGTCAAACCTGGCCACCCCCATTAAGAGCCGTGCATATTTAAAAAAAAAAATTTTTGAGTTAAGATTTTCACCGTGGAGCTGTGGTTAGAGTTTAGATCTAGAATCTAGATCTAGATCTAGATCTAGATTAGTTCTGTTTTTGTAGAAAACACTTTTGTTAGTTTGAGAAAAAAAAACTGAAAGTGAAAGAAAGTGTACCAAAGTAAATATTCACTTATTCATGCTTGCTGGAGCATATTTAATCTCTCTCTCTCTCTCTCTCTCTCTCTCTCTCTCTCTCTCTCTCTCTCTATCTCTCTCTCTCTAAATA